ACTTTCGAACACAGCTAAACCTTTGACTGACCGAAATATCAGTCAGCCATAGCCGTCGGGGCTCGAAAGTGTAAAGGAAACCGGGAAATTGTCAAAAGAATACTAAGAAAATCTTTCAAAATCTAGGACCTACTCAAAAAGGAGAGGAAGATTCTTAAGATTTTCAAAGAATTCAGAAGACAGGTTCCAATCTTCAATACACTTTCGAACACAGCTAAACCTTTGACTGACCGAAATATCAGTCAGCCATAGCCGTCGGGGCTCGAAAGTGTAAAGGAAACCGGGAAATTGTCAAAAGAATACTAAGAAAATCTTTCAAAATCTAGGACCTACTCAAAAAGGAGAGGAAGATTCTTAAGATTTTCAAAGAATTCAGAAGACAGGTTCCAATCTTCAATACACTTTCGAACACAGCTAAACCTTTGACTGACCGAAATATCAGTCAGCCATAGCCGTCGGGGCTCGAAAGTGTAAAGGAAACCGGGAAATTGTCAAACGAATACTAAGAAAATCTTTCAAAATCTAGGACCTACTCAAAAAGGAGAGGAAGATTCTAAAGATTTTCAAAGAATTCAGAAGACAGTTTCCAATCTTCAATACACTTTCGAACACAGCTAAACCTTTGACTGACCGAAATATCAGTCAGCCATAGCCGTCGGGGCTCGAAAGTGTAAAGGAAACCGGGAAATTGTCTAAAGAATACTAAGAAAATCTTTCAAAATCTAGGACCTACTCAAAAAGGAGAGGAAGATTCTAAAGATTTTCAAAGAATTCAGAAGACAGGTTCCAATCTTCAATACACTTTCGAACACAGCTAAACCTTTGACTGACCGAAATATCAGTCAGCCATAGCCGTCGGGGCTCGAAAGTGTAAAGGAAACCGGGAAATTGTCTAAAGAATACTAAGAAAATCTTTCAAAATCTAGGACCTACTCAAAAAGGAGAGGAAGATTCTAAAGATTTTCAAAGAATTCAGAAGACAGGTTCCAATCTTCAATACACTTTCGAACACAGCTTAAACCCTTGACTGACTGAATTACCAGAATAGAACGCGGACAGAATCGAACTGTTACAAGTTCGAACTGGTAAGGGGTCGAACTGTC